TTTTTTGTTTTAGAAAATATTTTAAATATATTTTTAGTATATTTTTTTTTATATTATCCTCATTCCCGTTAATTATGGTAATATGTTTGTGATTTTTAATTTTTTAAATTCAAATTATATATAATGTGATTCTTACAATTTCAATTGCTCTATTTCGTTTTTTACGTCACACATGTTATTAATCAACAATTTGGCTTTTCATATTAATACAATCACAATTCTTATTTGGTGGGGATTAAAATTAGATTTTAGTAAATTTTAATAAAATTTGATAAAATGTGTGGTTGAAAAACTGTTGGACATATGCAATACGTGGTTAAAATAAATTGTTCACTTTGATTTAGATTAAAATTTGAGTTTTAATCTGTACTAAATGAACCTAAGTATATGATCCTTCAACTGATGACTTTGGCATTTTCTCTAGAAATACATTTTTTTTCCTTTATTTAATTTTACTCTATGATGAATTAATTCTAGACATTTCATTGTTATGCTTACTCTATGATTCTATACATTGTTACCCAATTTTAAATTTAGGAATTTAAAGCTATCTAGATGTAATATTATTTATATTAAAATCTAATTACCTCTTACTATATGTTACAAATGACTGAATGAGTCGTCACTGCATTATTGTAACTGATACTCGTTTTGATATATGTAACTAAAAAATTATAATGTATAACAATGTTATTTTCCTCTGTAATTTTTAATGATTCCGTTTGGATAATAATTTTTTTGAATATGAAGTTCCCATAAGGGCCTAAGGATCTCAAGAAAAAAATCACATATAATAGCCCATTTTTTAATTTTTTTTTTTCATGTATAAAATAAAATATGCTAAAAACATTGGTTATTTATTTGAAGACCTCATCCTATAAACAAAGGTGTAAAGACTGTCTGACCGAAGATTTCCCACTCGACATAGGGACAGAAATGAGGCAGCCGTGGGCCTTAGTCAAGCATTGTCCAATTTCATTTATTTTATTTATAAATAAAAAAAGGTTTATGAGTTTTTTTTTTTTCCTTTCTATGTATTATCTTAGTGCAAAATGACTTTTGTCCTCCTCTGGATCCGCTTATGCAGTTGACCATTTTTAGAGATGGTAAAAAAATCTGAAAAACTCGATACCATTGTGGCCCCGCCCCGAATAGGGCGGGAATAACCCACTTAATCGGGTATTCGGGGCGGGGACGGGTAAAGGGTGCCTCGTCCCGCCCTGTTTAATTTTTTTTTTTTTTAATTTTCTTTGTTTAGAATTCAATACTTTAAATGAAAAATTTCACTAAATTTCATTACTTTTAATAGAAAATGACAACTAAAATTATTTGTTTTAATATAATGAATATTGACAATAAAATAAATTATCAAAAAGTAAATGGGGTTGCCCCGCGCTCGTTTCCATCCCTAATGTATAGACACGTCAAGGCTGGGAAATTCTTGAACCTTGCTCGCTGTGGCCCACATGAGGGGAATTTTTTTTTTTCTTGTTTTTAAATTTAATGTGAAATTTGAATAAAAAGTTGATTTTGATCCACATGGGCAAGACTACATAATAAAATATTTTATTAGGTGATAGTCGTCCCAAAAATGGAAAAAAAAATTGTAATGATAAATTATGAAATATAAGTGCAAATTGTAAAAGTTACCTTTTCTTTCTTTAAGGCAACTTACCAAATTTTGACTCCTAACATTAATCCGAATCCAAATCGAAGACCTGCGAGACCTATATAAATACACATACACACAGAGCAAACTAAAGAGAGAAAAATCAATCTTGAAAGTGTGCTAGTTTTTCTTCACATTGAAATTTATTATTTCGCCATGGCAACGAATAGCTTTTCTTCATCAGAATTGGAGGTTCACCAGATTCTGGAGAAGACAATGACGGGGAAAATGCAGAAGTTTAAGGTAAAGATGACGCTACCATTCAACGTGTATTGCGAACATTGTGGCTTCTGCATGGGAAAGGGCAACAGATTTGAAGCAGCCAAGGAAGAGGCGGGTTGGGAAACATTATTTGACATACCGATATGGAGGTTCAAATTCAACTGTTATTCATGTTCCGCTCCTTTTGCGATCAAGACCGACCCCGGCCGATACGACTACGTTATTGAGTTTGGTGCAACATTGGTTCTTAAAAACGTTAACCTTTAGACAATCTAGTTTCACTCTCTACTAATCAGTCACTAGAATATATTTTAGGGTTTTTGAATTTTCATTCTATGGTTGTTACTGCACTTTATTCGAATAATACACTTGCAATTTTTTTAGATGATTTACAAGAATTTATAAGATCTTTAGTTTCATATTCAATGCTGATTACAAAGTATTATAATTCAATGGTACAGTTGATGTGATTAATCGATAAATCTTTTATGAATGAAATAAATATATATCTCGACATTCAAGAATCCTTCAAACGTAACTTACGAAGAATAAAAGAAAGACGAACAACTAAATTTGAATCCAAATTAAAATCTAAGTACAGTTCAACACACGTCAATTTAAAGTTGTCATGATAAACACCTTTGAGGGAAAATTAGAAGAAATCATGCTTTTAACTTTTCGCTGTAAAAAATCAGGTATCATAATTTTTTATTCACGAATAATGTATTTTTTGTTTTAGAAAATATTTTAAATATTTTTTTAGTATATTTTTTTATATTATCCTCATTCCCGTTAATTATGGTAATATGTTTGTGATTTTTAATTTTTTAAATTCAAATTATATATAATGTGATTCTTACAATTTCAAATATTTCGTTTTTACGTCACACATGTTATTAATCAACAATTTCGCTTTTCATATTAATACAATAACATTAATACAGAGGTTACAACTTCGTATATCACGTAGATCACAATTGATACATTTTTTGTGACGATATAAGTGGAACTATAATTTCATTGGGTAAAATCACTAGTCACATATTAATTTTAAGTTCCTATTCGGTGGGATTTAAAATTAGATTTTTAGTAAATTTTAATAAAAGTTAATGAAATATGTGGTTGAAAACATGTGGGACACATACAATACGTGGTTAAAATAAATTGTTAGCTTTGATTTAGATTAAAATCTAAATTTTAATATGTAACAAACGTGCCTAAGTATATAATCCTTCAACTGATGACTTTGGAATTTACTCTAGAAATACATTTTTTTTCCTTTCTTTAATTTTACTTTATATCTACATTTGGCGTTTCTTACTTTTTATTACTAGTAAGACGCACGGGTATAGTTGGCTATATGATAACGTAAATATAAAAAAAATTATTTGTCTTAAGCATTAGTTACATTAAACTTAAAACACTTGAAATGATGATAAGTGACAAAAATAATATTAAGAGATTTGATTCAAAACTTATTTTCTAGACTTTGCGTTTGAATGTCTCTCTATTCTTTTTAAAAAAAGATAGGATATAGATGATTAGGTGTGATGCTATGCTAAAGAGATAATGAAGTTTAACATAGCCTTCTTTTTTCTACCTATTGAGGTAAGCCTGGTAAGGCATTATGTCTCTTTCATCTCGTGCTCATAGAATCTCTAATTACATGTATCATTTGCACCAGTATTTAATTTCTTTACCAAAACCCTATGCAAGACGTATGTAGTCAAAACTAATTAATTAATGATAATACAGTGTAGAATTTAGGACAAATCAAGGGTCTCTATCGGTATTAAAATCACAACACAACGAAAACTTCCATCGTAGAGGCAAAAAAGAATGACAACGATTACCTAACTTCATAAATTCCGTCGAATATCTTTTCAGCATGTTCTCATGATACTGTACATTAAATCCATTAAAAAATCAAAATAATCCACTCCGCAGAAGATGTTTGTCTACCAGCACTGCATGATGTAGGAAGATTCTTCTGAAAATCATTGAATTCCTTCAATATCCATTTTGATGCCATAAATTTACCATTTTTAACCGTAAAAACTGAAGAAAAATTAAATTGAGAAAAATTGGTGTGAGTATGAGGGTGGGGTGAAAAAAAAAATTAATGATTTTGATTTTACGTTTATTAATTTAAGATAATTTTTATATTTAAACGTAATCGACAATATATTTATTATTATCACATTTTAAGTTTTTTTAAAAAAAAATGAAATCGATCCAAATGGATATTTATATGGTGAAATATCGAATCAAACGAGAAATTGTAAAAAAATAAAGTTCGAAAAAAGAGCATTGGAATGGGGTTGAGATTGAAAAGAAACATAAGCAATCACGAC